CACTGTCCACGCACATTCGTACACCGCACCCCATTTATATGAAAATCCGGTGCTTGGGTATACTTCTTATACTTAGTACGCGTAGATTAGGTTAGTAGATATGTCAGCATTTTTGCCCACTCCAGGCAGCAGCCCACTGACCAGATTGGGCGGTTGCTGGACCTCGGGGATGGGAATGGAGAGTGAGGTGGAAGGCTCACAGCATTTTTGACCCTATAAACAATCTGATATGCTTGACCCTATTAAGGTGCGCTGAAGGTCATTATTTGGTAGGTTGCCAAGTTACTGGATTAGGTGGTTAGGCTAGCGTGTGTTTGTGTGGAGTGGTTGCCTAGCGGACCGAGAGTCAGACTGCAATAGCTCTTTCTTCATGTGGCATTTACGACACTCCCACACCGTGGGATCCGAGTCAGATGGGGTGACTTCGGCGGCGCGTTGGTCATGACACCGAACGGAGGTAAGGGGATAGATGCAACGGAAGTTTACTACCACTAAAAATAATTCACGCATAAGTCATAGCGTACGCCATCAGCACGCGACGGACATCTTCGAAATTAATGGTCGAAATATGAAGTCATTGAACAGTCCTTTAGGCATTTTCCTTTGCGATACAATCTGCTGGTTATACATCGCTCAAAAGTTAACTTACGCACAGTGTTAGCAATAACATCACCACCAGCAACATGGCACATAGATGCGACTTGAATTACATATTGAACTAATGTGATGATTGTCCTGGCTATATTATTTCAATATCCACCGAGATTCAAAAGACTGACTCGGATTCTCTACTGCGTTAATGATACAGTTGGACAAAGCCAGTAATGAACAAACCCAAGAAACGAAACTCCCTAACGAAAGCATTGTTTATAAGTGAATGAAGCATTTATTTAGCCCTACAGCGTAAATAAGATAGGAGTTCGTTTAATATTGAAACGACAAGGTAGGACATTATGTAAACTAGAAGACATCATAAACTTTATCTCAATAACATTAACTATTATTACATCCAGACGATGTGCGAAATAAGTGAGCATGCCAGAATTTGTTCGTCTTTCAGCAAAATAGTTGGATCTCTTGGTGAAATCACTTCACTTTCCATCTTACTCGAAGCTCAAGGACCATAAACGACCTAATTTTGTGAGGGACGTCCAGAACATTTGTATTTAAATAAGATGCTTTATAAGGAAAACGGCAATTGAGCAAATAAGCAAGTCTTATCCTTTTTCAGATGAAAAAACAAAAAAGTAGTTGGTGAGCATACATTGGCTTTCGATAAATTTTCATCGGCTCATTACATTTATATGGAAAGGGGATACAAGTTAAACAAACGATCAGTAATGTTCGTCTTTTCATACAAGCGAGTCGTGGAAATCGGCGAGGGGGTCAACAAGAGAAGGATGGTTAGGCGGGAAGAGTTTTCTGAAGCCGGACTCGCTGGTATGAAAAGACAAACATTACTGATAGCCTGTTTAACTTGTACGCCCTTCTCATACAAATGTAATGGGCTGATGAAAACTTATCCAAAACCTAAGTACGCTCGCCAACTACTCTTCTGAATACTCTAATGGAAATATTTACAACTTTATGATACATTAAAATAATTGAATTTCGTAAGATTTAAACGCCATACCGTAAGCTAATTCCCTACAACGTTCTTCCTCTTCACGTTCCTTCTTCTCCTTACTTTGCTGAGCGAGGGCTCGCTCATCGACCTAAATATAATAAACATTCATATTGTAGTGTTAGAGAACAAACAATTACGACTGATTCAAAAAGTGCTGTCTGGGGCTAACTGCCAAAGAAGTACGTCGTTTATCGTTTATAAAATGTAAAAGCGTTCTCACAGATAAACCAGTAGTTTACGTCTATATGTTAACAACAAGAAAAAAAGTATTTAGCCTCGGAAATTATGTACAAAATAATGACTTGATCAGATAGATTGCTTAGAAGAATATTTGGAAAATAGTTATTTTAATTCCAGTCCAAATGTACTTTCAGAACTTATGAAAGTGTATTGCAAACCATGCACTCAATAAACATTTAGTTCCTTCTTAAGTAAGCCATGAAAGTTAACAAAAGACACGGAATATGGGACAGCAAAGTTTCCAAATTTTAGTTGTAGGTTTATTAGGTGTGACAAACACGGTAAAGGATCAATTTTTTGGCTAAAAATATGGTCTTTAGAATAGTTCCATTTTTATCCTCTTGGAAATTACTATTTTAGAAGTTGCTCTTTTTGGAACTGCGGCAAAATGCAGTTGTTATTTACGACGTATGTTAAAAGCCACAACTAGATGGTGCTCTTAGGTCAACTACGAATCAGATATAGGTTTTTATTTCTCTAATAGGTTGCTTAACTTAATTTCTGTATCGATGGTTACTTGCTGGTTAATATAATGATATGGGTCTTGTATCGTTTGGGTCCCATCGTATTTAACAGATGTAATATCCAATCTATGTTGGATCAAACAATTAGCAGGCAGAATCCTAAACCAGCAGGCGTCAATTAAAACAATTGTTGTGTACTATTTATATCATACCTGTCCAAAAGAATCAAAATAAGTGAAGAGTCATATTCAGTGTGCAGTTTAGGACAGGTCTTTATGAAGGATATCATATCGTAGATTAGTACAACCTGAATAGGTGGTTAAAATTCGTTTTGTCCTTGGTGAATGTTTGCATATGAAATACTAAATGGGGCCAGCATACTTCGATGAACTTAAAATAATTTTTTATTGTTGAGCGTGTGTTTGTGATGATTTAATGTCACAGTTGGAATCGCAATTTTAGTTTTCTCGTAAATTATAATATATACCTCTAATGTCTGAATAGATAAAATATATGTATTTCGGTTCTGCAGGTGTAGGTGGAGCTAGACAAGACAACTGCTCTCAGGGATTACTCTAGAGGGAATATTTCAATGGACATCCACTGAGAGTTCGGACCCCACGCAGCCGTGTCAAGCAGCGGTTAAATACCAGCAAAAGAGTATCTGGAATTTAGGGTAGTGACTGTGCTGCCAGTGTGGTCATTTAGTACGTAGGTTATATAACAGTATGCCCGGTGGCAACTGATGAGCATTAGGCGGTTATCCCATTTATATCAACGTTCGGTCTGCACAAGTAGACTATTGCAATAGTCTCCTTGCGCAGTTAATTGCTGACGCTATCTAGCTCAGTATATTCATGAATATACTGAGCTAGACAGCGTCAGCAGTTAACTTCTAATGAAATTAAAAAGCTAATCAGTGAAAGGAACTGTTCCATAGAAGAAGTAAATTATCCATTAATAAACTAAGTGCACATATTTTAGTTATAGCTATAGCTGCAGATACACTTAGAAACCTCGTGATCTCGTGATGAAATTTCACTTTTTTATGTAATGACAAGTGAGCATCCGTTTGATGCATCCTGAGAGAACTTAAAATAGTCCCACAAGGGTTTGCATTATGATGATTATGTCCCTAAGGCCTGATTTTTTTAGCATTAATTAATTAAAATAACTAAATTAGTTTTCCCATGAATAAACATAAAAGCTGACAAGGAAAATATTTATAAAGTACACAGTTAACAGCATATCCCTTTAAAGTTGTTATAACCTAATCTTCATGACCATAAGACATATTATCAAAATTTTACTCTTGACAATTTTACAGTAGCAGTAAATAGTCCTATGATATAGATGGATGAGTAGGTCGCACCCCGATAAGTCTGTTCTTTGCATTGAAAATTCTACTCTTTCGCTGTTCTTCTAATGCTCGTCGTCTTTCAATGGCCGCAGCTTCTTTGCAGTCAATAGGTAAATCGAGTTTATACATGGTGCACGACGATTTATCCCTGTGCCAAAGCGGTCGTCATCACGCGAATGATTATAACAAAGCGTTGAGCGATTGACAATCGACTAAAGCATTTGAGTCAAGTAAATGAAGGGACATATATTCAGATCATCCAACATAACATATTTACACGACTTATTTACATTATATTGTAACAAAGGTCTTTTTGAAGAAAGTCCATGAACACACGTCCTCCTCTCATGTATAAATGGTGAATGACACTAACTTTCATTGAACGGTTGCAATAGTGATTTTTCTTCGGGGTTTCTATCAACTGCTTTAATAATTCAATATAAATTCAAGAACAATGGGGACGAAAATATGCTTCAGGGAACCATTCTGGTATATTTGTTTGTTATATTCACACACTGATCATACAGGCAGCGAAAACTTGGCGGATACCAGAGAAAGTAACTGGTGAAGTACTACATCGATTGAAATTCACATCGATTTATTTGATCAAGTTCTAGGTATGGACACTTAAACGCTATTTGTCATGTCCAGTAAAATATATTAAAATATTTAGGGCAAATGAACACCAGACGAACAGAGAAAGAAGTTAAAAACGCCCTAGATGCTAGTAATCCGTGTTGTAACGGAAGCCCAGACCGAGATATCACCGCCAATAACGTCTTGTGTGTCCCAAAAGGAAGAACACGACAGGAAGTGTGCAAGGACAGAAGTCTTTTAATGTAATAGGTACAACGTATTTAGGACAACAAACCGTGTAACACGATGTCCATTGAGACAATCAGCTCCTCTCCTGAAATAGTCGCTGGTAGGACTGGCTAACGACTTAACGGTTGACTCTAGTTTGAATTCTGAATTATCGATTGATTGACGGCTTGTGTACGTTCGCCCG